CAATAATTCTTTAATTCAACATTAAAACTGATTGATTTGAAAATATTTTTCGACTGGATTGAATAATACCATTACATATTGATTTGATCATTAAACAATATTAATATTATTTTGAAATTTGAAATAATTAAAAAAATTGTAAATAATATTTTTTAGAGATATATCATCAGTCTTAATTGCATACATGAATATCCATTTACTTTATTTTAACAAAATCAAATATAAACATATGCCTATAATCACTCCAATCGCATTAATCATGTGAATAAAATATAAAGTGTGCTTATAAAACTTAACTAGGTTGCAATCCCATTTTATACCGGAATCTTTTTTTCTTTTTTCTTCTCTCTTTTTTTTAGGATTTATGTTTTTCTTTTTAATAATTATTATTTTTTTGTGTCAAAAGTTTTTCGCTTCTAACTTTTGAAAATTATGGACAAATATTTTCTGCAGTAAGGATTTTCGAATGCACATCACGGTGAGTTTCTTTGCCGATCTTAATTAATAATTTCAATGTTTGATATTTTCTTAGGGACAACATGGCGAAATATATGTTGATGATTCACGAAAATGAAATATATTTAACACGTAGATCAATATATGGATCTATTTATTTTCTTCTGTAAATAAGTAGCGCATAAAAATTACTTTTAATGTAACATTGTTTAACTTAGTATTTTTATATTATATATCAATTTACTAAAATATAAAATATTTCTTTCATTTTTATTATGTTTGATTTTATACATAATTTATCTATCCCGCACATCGTGCGGGTACCATCTAGTTTTACATAATTTGAATTCTATTCGAAATTTATTTGTGGTATCTTTTGGGCCAAAGATTTTAACGTTATCAACCATCACGTAGATATATTTAATTACGTGGGATTAAAATTATTGTGTATAATTACTCTTTTACGGTGTTATTGATTTATAAAACTTATCATTGCAAATAAAAAAATTTCACCATTAGGGTTTCCCTTGCTCTTTTCAAGCCGCCACCGATAAGAAAAAAAGGTGATGATGGGGTTGTGGAATGTGAAAAGCTGCTGCCACTTTTTTCTCTTTTTCTAGCTTAGCATGAGGGCTGGTAAAATGTTCTAGTTCAAGAGAGGAGAACGATAATAAAAATCAAAGCCTCCTTGCATCTGATATGGGGTGGCGGAATTAGGGCTTCAAGAATTGGCCGCGGTTAATGCAAAAATTATGCCTTCCTTTCATCAATTGGCAGGCGTTGCGTTCAAAAAAAAATCCAGCGTTATCATCTTCTGTAAAAAAAATTCCGTTGTCATCGTGTTTATCATAGTTGACAGGCATCAAAACTTCCAAAGTTGGCCTAGAATCAGCACAATATTCTGCCGTCTCTAAAAATGTTAGGAAAAAAATTGGCCTACGATTGCTCTGTTAGAGATTACAATTCAGTTTTAGCTTCAACATCTACACCCAGAGATACAGTTTTCAAGAACGACGATTTCGAAGGACAATTAGAGATGGATATTCATCATCGAATGCTGCCCAAATCATCATCGAATGTAATCCGGTGATGATTTTTCCGGCAATGATGTGAGGAGATCTTTGTGGCCGGAGAATTTTTTCGGTCAAATTGATGATTGGCAGATACTTCAAAAGTGTTATTTGAAGGAAGTTATTTTTGTTTAGAAAATAACTATTTGACTGTGTTTAAATTAACCATATTATTTGCACAAAATACCTTGTAAAAAAATCTGCAAATTAGAAGATGACATGTGGACCACATAAAATTCTCTACAGATGAGAAGATGACACGTGTAATTAAAAATTATCGATGACCTAATTGATTGACATGTGTCTTGTGAGAAAAATTCGCTTAATATATAGTAAGATTCTGTGGAGACTAATCTCATTTATATTGAGAAAATATACAAGAAAAACATCAAACAATAATAAGATCTAGCTAACTAAATATTACCTCTAAACAGTTGATTTATTGTATAACTATTCTAACTTGTGGAAATCCATATTAAATATTTATAACAATCATTACATTTTTCCTTGTTTTTTATTCTCTCAAATCCCATCGATTATTTTATAAGTTACTAAACATATTATAGTACTTCTTCTGTCCTGAAATTATTGTCTACTTTGAATTTTCATTTTTAGTATAAATTAAACTAAAAGTGAAAATCCAAATTTTGGGACGGAAGGAGTAATATGGCACATAATCTTCTGTGACATTTTCTTGTGACACTCACTGTGACACAATCTAATTTCTTCTTATAAATTATATAATTTGTGTTCATTCATATATCACAATCACATATTTTCAATGTAGATAATTTTCATATTCTTATTTTATTTTTTATATAAATGGTTTATTTTTATTAAATTTGACTATGTTTATTAATGTTTTTAAATATAAAAATTAAAATAAATAACCCCTAACCCGAAAAGAGTGAACCCTTAGTTCTAAAATATATAAGTTCGAAAGTAATTGTGAATAGTATATGTATTAACACAAATTATTTAATTTTTAAGAAGTAATTGAGTTATGTCACTGTGAGTGTCACAAGAAAGTATCACAGAGAATCAGTGCCTAACCCTAATAACTAGATCTAGTTTCTTTGGAATATGACCCATTTATTAATTATAATAGAACTAGATTATTTCCCTCGGTTGTATTTGCTTCAGAAGTCTAGCCGAAGTATTGCAAATTGGAACCTCCTACTTGCATAATTTTGGCGTCATCCTAGTACCCTTGCGCCTCATATGTAACTTGATTTATATTAAATTAAAGCTTTCAGTTTGTTCTAATTGATTATTACGACCCCAAATCTTACTATATTAGAAACAAAAATCATACTTAAGAGAAAGTACCATAATTTGCCATGTGGCATTTTCACATCATATTTTTAAAATAAATATTTATTTACACATCTCCTAGACTTAAAAGGGAAATGCAGTCCAAATCCACCTCCACCTCCTATTTTCGCCAAAAAAAAAAAAACCACGGATTCATAAAAAACTCAAATCCTCATCCCCATCTCCACAACAATCGACTTTCTAATCAATCCCTTCTCCACAATAAAAAAAAAAAGAAAAAAACAAATTCCTCATCAATCATCAATTGAGAATATGTAGTGAAATATTCTCCTTTCATATTAGCATGTTCAATTTTTTCATTAGTGATGATTAACTACATCCTAATCGGATAAAATTTCGACTTCAAAAAATATTCTCTTTACCTCTCTATATAAACACAAAGGAGAAAAAAAAATTTTCATTGATCTTGCTTCGACCGTTGTGGTGGTGCCATTACAGGTATTAAAATTTAAATCATTTTATTTTCACAAATCATTTGTCTGGCTTTTATTATTGTTTGTTTTTTCCGTTCAATAATAGTGTTATTACTATTATTTTTATGTGTTCATCCGTTACAGCTACCGTAACCGTTGTCAGGTAATATGATGTGATTTCTTATATGGTTAGTTAGCCTATAATTTTTATGATTTTAGTTCTGTTTGGATTGAATTGATTAATTGGGTTTTTATTACATAGTGTGGTTTTTTAAATTTCTTTTTTTGTATGTTTCATTCAATTAGAGTCGTTTTCTTTTTTTAATTATGGAGTCTCTGTTTTTTTTTCCGTATATGGTCAGTTATGAAGTGTGTTTTTTCTTTGTCTAATTGCTTTTGATTTTGTTTCATACTCCCAGTTGACCAATTATTATTATTATTATTTTATTTTATTTGCAAATGAAGCGCGTTTTTTTTTTGTGTTCGGGCTTTCAAGAATATGCTTTTTTGAATTTGGTTTTTGGACCTTTTTTAGTTGCTCATCATATAAATAGTTCAGGTCACTTCTTCTAACTGATTTATTGGAAAGCCTTTTATGACTTCTAGGTGGAGAGGAAAGAAATGATGTTTCTACGTTTATTTGTGTTTTTATACATCATTTTTACCTACAGAGAAAAATAAATTTCTCAATTCTTAATGGGCTATCTTTTATTATTATTATTTTTTATTTACCATGGTGAGGTGAGTTCTTTTCTGCTATAACTTGACACCTATGCAAATTTACGTTATTTTCATTCTCATATTTGTGATCAATCAGTTACAACAATTAACTAGTTTCAAAATTATATTTTTGATATTTTACTATCTATAAACTTTTGGAAGAAATATTTCCAACAATTAAGCGTATACCTTTTGGAGCAAGCTTACTACAAAGCTATTATAAATCTCCAAAACTAAGTATTGATTTGGTACAACCAATGGAGAACATTAATAAATCATCTTACTAATATTTAAACTTATGATGATGCTTTTATATTTTGTCTAGCATTTACTTCAAGACATATATTTGATTAATTTATTTATATTTAAGAAGTAACACTTATAAAATATTTTTAAAATCTTCAAACATTTCTAAAACGTACCGGCCAAATACAATTTTTTTTATGCCAAATACAAACATTTCTATGATCACACTTATAAAACATTTCTAAATTCTTCAAACATTTCTGAAATATATTGAGCCAAATACAAAATATTTTTTTTTCATATACAAATATTTATAAGATCTACAGATATATTGGGCCTGGAAATGCGCGACCAGACATCACTATTACTTTTAAGATGTAAAAACTAGTAGTAAGTAATCAACACATGTCAACTGCCAAAAAGACTATTATTATATCATAACTAGCTCCATCAATCATCCTGGATTTGTCAATAACCTAAACGAGAAGCGGCAAAATTTTAAATTGTTTTTGACCCTTTCCATCTGCCGGCCCGAAATTTTACCAAAAATTTTCTGCAACAATCTTCGTAAAATCAGCCAATTGGCATGTTATACCACCTTAAGTTACTTTTCTTTGTGTTTCTTTCCTTCTGGAAGATTGTATTATAACCTCACTAGTTTGATTTTTTATTTCCTTTCCAACAAACTGCAGGAATGAAATACAGAGGAAACAAAATTCTCTGTTTTTTGTTGGGTTCATACTAATAGTGCTTACCTGAAATGGACAGATGGAGTTGCCGGACGCCGGTGATGGTGTTCTTCATGATTCTATTGAAGGTAAGTTCAGAGACAATTGAAGTGAGGCAAGCATTGGTTCAGTTCATGGGAAACATGAATCCCGGAAATGCTCCCGGGAGAGATGCTAATTGGGGATGGAATTCCAGTTCAGACCCCTGCATTGCACAATGGAAAGGAGTTCGTTGTCTCAATTCATCATCCGTCAAGAAAATTGTTCTTGATAACTTCAATCTTAGTGGGATCCTTGATGCTAAATCGTTGTGCGCGACAAAGTCTCTGGCGGTTTTCAGCCTGAATAACAACAATGTGGGAGGAAATTTAGCAGAGGAGATATCAAATTGCAGCCATTTGACACATTTGTATCTTTCCAGGAATAATTTCACAGGCAGCCTTCCTAGTACTCTTGCAAGGTTGAATAACTTGAAGAGACTCAACATTTCAAACAACGGGTTTTCAGGTGTATTGCCAGATTTGCAAAGAATTTCAGGATTAGTAACTTTCAGGGCTGAATACAATCATCTTAGTGGGCAAATTCCAGATTTTGACTTCTCCAACCTCAATGATTTTAATGTTTCATACAACAACTTCAGTGGTCCTATTCCTGATGTAAATGGCCATTTAAACTCAAGCAGTTTCTTAGGAAATCCTGAATTATGTGGACTTCCATTAACAAATGCCTGTCCAACTCCTCCATCTCCGACACCTTCAACCCCGAAGCACAAGCATTCATCAATCAAACAGTATCTCATCTATTCTGGCTATGGGATTCTTGCGCTCGTTTTCATTCTCCTACTTCTGTATAAAGCTATTAAGGTAAAGAAGAATAAAGATGGTGGTAAAAGATCATCAGGACTTGAAATTGTAAGTAGCAAGCCTACTAGCACATCTAGTGAATTCAAGCCTGAGGAAAGCAGGTCAGAATTTTCCTTAACGTCGCCTGAAAACAATGGAAAGGCTTCATCACTAGTTGTTCTTTCTAGTCCAGTTGTCAATGGACTGAAATTCGAGGATCTGCTTCGGGCACCTGCAGAATTGGTTGGAAGAGGAAAACATGGAACCCTTTACAAGGTCACACTTAATCCTCTAGTGAATGTTGCAGTGAAAAGAATCAAGGATTGGGAGATTTCGGGCGATGATTTTAAGAGTAGGATGCAGAGGATAAACGAAGTGAAGCATCCAAATGTTTTGCCAGTTGTTGCCTATTATTGCTCGCAGCAGGAGAAGCTCCTGGTTTATGAATTTCAGCACAATGGAAGTCTCAGCAAATACCTTAATGGTGAGTAAGACTAATCAACAATAAGCTTCAATTTTGCAAACAATACTGAATTCCATTGTTTCTTCTACCTGTTCTGAAATTAATGTTTATGTGCCTCCTAATTTGGAATTTCATAGATCTTAAATATAGACCCTGATACTTCTTGGTGAAAATTTTGTCCTAAATAAGAATCTGCTTAAGATGAGGAACTAAAGCCTTTGCCTCCTTGATTTTGTCTTTATTATGATTGTCATTACGGGGTTTAAATTTGATAACTTTTTGTGTAAGTTAATCATATATTTGTACCCAGGGTCCAGAAATGGTGAAACTTTTGACTGGGGAAGCAGATTGAATGTTGCAGTTAGAACGGCGAATGCATTAGCTCACATGCATGAGGAGCTTCAAAATGATGGAATTTCTCACGGCAACCTTAAATCCTCCAATATATTACTGAACAAGGACATGGAACCCTGCATCAGTGAATATGGCCTAATGGTTGTTGAAAATGAAGATGAAGAGTTCATCACAGATACCACAAGCATAGACATCGACAACAACGCAACGCGAAATCTCTTCAAATCGGACATATATGCCTTTGGTCTGATTCTCCTTGAGCTTCTGACCGGCAAACTTGTCCAAAATCGGGCATCTGACTTGGCGAAGTGGGTGCACGCCGTTGTAAGAGAAGAATGGACAGCTGAAGTTTTCGACAAAGTACTGATTTCTGAAGGTGCAAGTGAGGAGAGGATGGTGAATTTATTGCAGGTTGCTTTGAAATGCATCAATCCTTCTGTGGATGCAAGGCCAAATAGTAGCCAAGTTGCTGCTGTGATAAATGCAATCAAAGAAGATGAGGAGAAATCCACTTTTAGTAGTGCTGAGCTCTGAAATCTCTCTTCTGCTCTATTTATACATTCTGCATACCTAACTTCAAATTGCAACTTTTTTCTCTAGCTGCTGTTTCAGAAAATATACATTTGGTATAGGATACACCTTTTTTCCTTTTGTTGTTTTTTTTTCTCTGTGTGGAAGATTGTGAGAGAAGATTCTTTAAACTTTGTTCATAATAATTCAGTTTTACATTTATTGAAAGAATTTCTTTTGAAGAAATTATTGAAAGATTTGATTATGCAAGAAACCTTATGGTCACAAATTATGATCATTGACAAATTTCTAGTTTTTATTTGGGAGAGACCACTTGTCAAATTTATGATGTGATGATTGATAAATAAGTTCGAGTCGAAATAATCAAGTTAACTTTACGCGAGAAAATGACTCGAAAGGCAAATCAAATTTGCAAGATTGAGCACTTGACCAACCGATTAATCAACAATAGCTTGAGCATGACTTAATTTTCCGATATTCTTTACTTTTATTTACCATGTCATGCAAGCAATCCAGCAATGAAGTAACCGTAGAGCCGTTGATTCAACCCCTTCCAATCCCAAACACTAAGCACAATAGAGCGCAACGAGAAGAAGTGAGAAGACGCCTTCAAGAACCTCGAGATTGGAATTTCTTCTTCACCAACTTTGCTTGGGAATTCTTCATGAGACATCAGAATTGGATACCAATCATCGAGCGCAGGCTCATCAACGATGGCAATTCCTCTACATACATCAAAGATAAAGGTGGGAAGGCCACTACAACCCCACGACTAGGCCACGGCTCCAGGCAGTACAGGAGTTATATGAAAATCTCACTTCTGTACAAGGACAATATGTCTTTGTTAGAGGTTTTACAGTTCAGATCAGCAAGAAGGCCATCCGAGAAGTTTTGGGATGGCCTGAAGTGGATACAGATTGGGATGACGATGTTATGAACCTCCCAATGAAGAAGGATATATGGGATTCCCTAAGAAAGGTCCTCTGCCACACGCCAAAGTCCTTCAAATGGACTCTGAATAAATATGGTGACCCTAAGCAGTTACTTTCTAAGGACCTCAAGGATTAATATAGAGGCTGGTTCAACTTGGTCTGCACAAACATCAAACCGACTAACTCTTGCCATTACATAACTTTTGACAGGGCTTTGCTGGTTTATGCCATCTCAATGACATAGCCATTGATGTTGCTTTAATCATCCGATAACAGATGGATGATTGTGTTGCTAATGAGAAGCAGAAAGGATGGTTCTTCCTCAGTCTCCTAACCATGTTGATGGATCGGTACGGTGTAAATTTCGGACCAAGGGACAGAAGAGCGAGTTGCTGCCACCATGGTATTTGGAAGCACCACTACCACCACCACCTATTGGAGAGTTACAAGAATTGGTAGCTCAGGGAAGTCAGTAGTTCACTTTTATTCTCCTTTTTTTGTATGTGTGTGTGTGTTTGTGCCATTCCTCTTTTCTTGTCTTTTCCTTTTTTCAGCATTGGGGACAATACTGAATTTTAAGCTTGGGGGAGTATGTTTGGGGAGTGAATGTTTAAGTGTTAGTTTTTAGGTCTGTACATATATTTTTTTCCCTGTTTTTGTTCTTTGTTTTTGCTTGTGTTTTTGTTTTTCTTTTGTGATAGAGTCAATTAGGTCATTTGTGTTTAGGTCAGTTGAGAATGCAGGCTAAGTAAGTTATCAAGGACAATGATGAAAACAGAATGAAAAGGTCACATTTGGGTGGAAAAACACTTGTTCAAAACAAAGTTGTTAGCAGAGTCTGAAACTCATTTCGACATCCTAATGCACAGCTGTTCACTTGAGAAAGTGTTGTTCAAGGCTTAAATTTTAAAATTTTGAAAAGTTTTATGCATTGTTGTGATATGTACTAAAGCCTACTTGTCTATAAACCTGGGGGACTGTAAATATAAGAGCTAGACTAAGGCAACCTTATGCATTATGGTAGTCTCGATTCGAGCTCATAGTAGTTTGTAATAGCCTAAATACGTTGGGAAAAAGGGGAAGCTGGCGGTTGAATCTAAGGTTTAGTGTTTTGCTAATTGAGAGAGTAAAGGCAGAGTGCCCAAATGTGGCATTTTAAACCATTGAGAGGTAAGGCATGGCACCAAAAGAGAGGAGTGTCCTCAGGCCTGGTGCGATGAAAAATATAGATGCTTAGAATATCAAAAAGTGCTGAAAAAAAATATGCCTGGTATATTGATGGATGTCGAGACCATCAAAATAAACCTATTTAAAACTTGTAGCAACTGATAAGAAGGGTCAATCCCATAGAGACGGGAAACACTTGATGAAAATTGGGATCTAGTACAAGAAAAAAAGCAAAAATAGCAAATTGGCAAGTGAGTAAGTGACTTGGCAAAGTGATGGTAGCCTAGGGTCATCCTCCACCCTACTCTATATACATATGTATTAATTCTTCTAGCTCTCTATGTGGTATGAAACTGTATTCAATTAGGCACATAAACAATGTAAGGTCACTTTCGATTGTTCCAAACAGCAGTCCTAGTAGTATCCAGTAAAGTAACTTCTGTTGTCGACTCAAAATTACTACTAAGCCATTAAGATCTTAAGCCCTTATGATTGCCTCGTGCCAAACAACTAACTTTCAATGTTGTTTGAAACCTTGTGCTGTTACCCCCTCGTCATCGGCTGATTCTAGACGTTCTAAGTGAAGTTTAGCCTTCAGGAAATTCCCCCCACATGCATGCACAATTAGCTTGAACGGCCTATTCAATCTAAAAGGATAATTAAAACTCTAGAACTAAGCATACAAATATAATCCGAGAGCATGAATCAAAACATAATTATATAGTGATAGCAATCTCGTAGACGAAGCAAATTTCGTTAATGCAACCATCAACAAGAAAGTACGAAGATAATTTTGTCTATCCCGTGAAACTCAAAAGAGTGCGGAAAATTCACAGTAAGACGATCGTTTATCTAAGTGATTCTATCTCCTAACTCAAACCAAGCAAAGAACACATTATCCATGAAAGATTCGAATTAAACAACAACCCACGCTAAGAATAGCAAGGACACCATTCAATATACTCGATCAGTCATAATCAAGAGACTCAAGAAAGGTAGGAGCAAACAATGCCCAACTATGAAGGAATACTATTAATTAGTAATCTTCATAACCAACCAAAGATATGCAACACATACACTATCTCAAAATGCTTATGCCAAAGCACAACTCATCCCAACAAAAGTAGGACAAACCCCACAATGGATCTCATGAACACACTCATCATGAAATTCGAACACCAAGCCAAAGGAAAGGCTCATCAATCGAACTACTAGAAGTAGTATGAAAATAAGAAGTTTAGTTTTAAAACAATTCTATCAAGAAGCATACTTGAAAAAGAATGGTTTCGCAAGATCAACAAGATCCAAGACAAGATGAAAACCCTCTTGGTTTAAACATACTTGACACGAAAAATGGACACTCCATTTAACAAAAATTCCTCACAGGAAAAACTCTCAAAAGAGACAACAAAATGACCACTCAAGGGTGCTTCTAAAATTCGGCCAAGCCTCCTATATATAGGCTTGAATTTTTGGCCAGCACCTCTAAAAAGAAGACCAATTAGGACTCTCTAATCTTATCTCACAAGGAGTAAAAGTAGAAGAGTACTTGATCTCTTTGACTCTATCTAAAATCTAGGAAACCTTATCTAAATCACTTATCCTCAAGTAGGATAATATCTAGAAGGAATCTAAGACTCCTAATCAAAACACTCTAGCTTAATTCAGTCCACATGACTTATTTAACTAGATAAAATTCGAAAAATTGACTCCTAGACTTAGACTAACTCTAATCTCGAAATTCAGCTCCAAATTATTGAAGTAAAATGTCTTGAACGCCCTTCCAAAAGTGGAATATTGGTCTTGCGCCCTTAAATTGTAGAAACCCCAATTTACTCCAAAACTTGTAGAATTCACCTTATTGACTCCAAAAGAATGGAAAAACACTTGAAACAATTAAGATAGTTTGCACCCTATCCAATTGTGTAGCAATGGACTCAATCTTGAACACTTGGATCAAATAGGCCGTCCACTCATGAACCTAAATGACTCTTCTCACTAGCTTTGATCAATGATCTTCATGGAGCACACAGAGTCAAACTCTCTTGATACTCTTCAGCACTTATTTCCATGAGGTCTTCATCTCCTTTGGTTTGCACCCCAAAGTTAATGACATTCTTATCACCTTGATCATAGCTCTCTTGAACCAACTCCCTATCACATAGGTAGTCAAGATCCATCCTTTCTTCCTTGATTGGCCTGCAAAGTAAACTTGGCATTCCAAATCTAGAATGAAGGACTAACTCATTCCCCTCACTAGGAGAACCTCCATGGAAGGCTACATGATTCTCATCATATAGAGTAGATGAATTAGACCTTAGCAATAAGTTTAGCTACTCATGGAATGAAGCTCAAACACCACCAAATTCAGGTGTTGAGACTTCATCCTGATTAGAACAGAAAGGAGAGAAAACAGGGGACGAGTAAAGTCAGGAAGTGTGGTTAAGTGCAGCTAACTTCGCAGAGTCAGTTTTTCACTTCCCCAAGTGACACCCCTGATTCTACCTCCCATAGTTATACTCTGTTTCTTCTTTCCGAACTAAACTACACTACAATCTACTTCTAAGTTGTATTTTGGACTTTGATGCCTTCGTCTTCGTGCTACTGCTGCCATTTATAGAGGTTGGGGGAGAGGTCTTGCTTAGCCATGTTGGTCTCCTCTTTACCCGATGTGTTTTATGCAAAAGATGAGGAGACCCATACTTCTCAACTTCCCCCTTACCTCTAATCAATTTTTAGGAGAGATTTAGATGAAGATTTCAGCATTAAGGCACATCAATCTCCTCTCAATGTCAGCAGCATCACTTCACCAATGGCTCTCCTTCCTTAGCTTTGAAGGATTGCTCCAATTTGGCCTTCTTCCTGCCGGATTCTTCCTCTTCTCAGCCCTTGCACGTCAGTCCTTGTAGCAACTTCTAATTCAGCCCCGAATCTTCACCATTTTGTCACTTTTTGCCCTATTTTCTGCCCGTATTGCAATTCAGTCCCTGGATAACCACAAATCATCAAATTAGCCTCTAACTACATAAACCTAACCTAATTGACCTATAACTGAAGCATAAAGAGATAAATTGAATGCCTAAAAACATAGTACGAAATGCACTCATCAACTCCCCCAAACTTGAAGAGTTGTTTGTCCTCAAGCAAACAAAACATCTACCCCCCATACAGACTGAAAACAGATGTAGCAAACAAGCTAGTCAAATTTTTGTGTCAGGAATTGATCTCATTACAAGCTGATGCAAAAGTTCAGAACCATTTGAGCAAGTCAAAAACTCACTTCCCCAAGCGCATGGATGACAGTCACAGAACAAAGTGTTAAATTCCATTCTTAAGTTAAATTCAATTTAGCATAGTGGACATTCCTGGATCTGTACCTATTTCCATCAAGTTTACAACTAGGGTATTCTAACTGGAATTTTGACTAAGGGCTTCCTCACTATTTTGCAAGCACATTGGCTACATCATTTACCCTCATACCCTTTTCCTTCTGTCCATAATGGCTTTTCTTCTGGATCTTCCCACTCAGGCCTTAGCCAAGCACATTTTCAGCACTATTTGGCATTCTAAGCATTTGTATTTTTCACCTCACTAGGCCTGAGGGCACTCCTTTCTTTGGTTGCTATGCCTCACCTCTCAAGGGTTATAGTGCCTGATTAGACACTTTGCCTATACTCCCTCAATTAGCTAACAAAAAACCTCATATTAATCTGCCTACTTCCCTTTTTCCCTAGGTAATTTCAGGCTATTCCAAACTACTATGGGCTTGAATTGAGCCTGCCATAATGCGTAGGGTTTGCCTTAATCTCGATCCAGGTTTACAGTCCTCCCAGGTTAACGAACAAGTGAGCTCCAGTACAGAGCACATCAATGCAAGAAATTTTTCAATTTTAAGCATTTTAAGTCCAGGAACACACTTTGTCAAGTGACTTTGTGACACGAGGAAGTGGAAGCAAGTTCTGAGATGAT